AGGAATTCGTTTACGACAATTGGGTACACTTACGAAGTATGAATCCCTAGACTTTGCAAAACACCACGAAAATCCGTCCCTTCTAAAGGATAACCGAGGTAGATGTATGCCTCTTCAGGTTGGAATAGATATATTTTGCAGTGATACGATATTTTCAGAAAACACAGGTCCTCTATTCGAAAACGCTGTTAACTCATCACAGACAAACGAACTATACCACCGAATTACGTTCGTAAAGAATTCAGCTCCTTCAAACTGTTTGTACACTTCAAAAGCAAAGTTCCACAAAGCTTTATTTGATGAGTTAGTCTGCGTCGATAACATATATACTCAATGTATTTGTATAAATTCCAAGGTGGTTTCGCTGGAAATTTTTCGTTCTTATATGAGTGGAAACATCGTTTATAATCAGCACGATGCAGATATTTCGGATTGGCCCAGTGTTTTCATAACTGCAGTCTCAGGTCAAGTTCGCGTGTTTGAAACAGTGTGGAAAAATAATGCAATTTGCTTTTACCTGAAATGTACCTGCAATGTTAATTTCTCCAAAGTGAATATTACCGGCTCGACCTTAGAAAGTGCGATAACTATTTTATCTGGTGACGCGTCAATAAATGACGACGCTGTCTCTCAGATGAAGATACAACTTGAACATTGTCTATTTAGGTTGAACGTGAAAAAGCATATAAGAATCGAATCGACACTTCCTTTGCTGCACCTCCTTTTAAAAGATATAAAAATAAACGGTGAACAAATGGAAAAAAGCGGAACAAATTCTGTGTTAGACGTCCTAATAGACACAACTGCATTGGGATCGTCAATTCGGCTGTGCAATTTCGTGGTCACGAATGCTGTTGGTTCGACATCAGTCGTGTTTATGATTCGCTCAAATAATTCTAACAACGTGGAAATCGTTAACGGTGTTTTTCGTAATATAAGCAGTGTCTTCTCAGACAGATACCCGGCAAGAGTGAGTCCATTGTCAATTTATATGTCCAAGGATGCGCTTATAAAAGACAAAGACTGCAACAGTTCATATCTACGTTTCTCGTACATCAATAGAATTACAATTTTTAACACAACATTTAAGGATAACATCGGACGGTCAACGGGTGGTTTCTTTCTTTCTTCAGGTAACGGCACCATTCGCAACTGTTACTTTGAAAATAACTACGCGATAGAAAGTGGCGGGCATATTCACGTTGCAGAAGAGCGCGCGATGCTTCAAATTGAAAATTCCATTTTGAGGCAGACTTCAGCTGAAACAGTATTCAACGGAGAAACTTTTACACACGATACATCTGTGTATTCAGAGAGCGCTGGTTCACTTCAACTTAGAAAAACATCGATTGTTGCAGAATTGGACAAAGACTCTTATCGGTTACTGTCAGTAACAAGGGCCGGTCTAGTAAAGTTTGATAATTTCAGCAAAATACGATGCGAAATAGGAAGTTTTTTGAGAGTGGACAACTTTTCGCATTTCATGTTCGTACCTAGTTCGTCTGAGAACCCAGAGTGTAGGTTAAAAACAACGGTAATGACGATATCATGTCATCAGTGCCTTGCAGGTTTTTATAGTCTCCAGCGAGGGGAAATACGAGGTCTTCCTAAAAAGGAAGTGTTGGTGAACTCTGACCTATTTTGTTCACCATGTCCTTATGGAGCGAACTGTTCTCGAAACATTGAAGCCAAACCGAACTTTTGGGGATATCCCGAATTAGATAACCCGAGGTCGCTGAAGTTTGTTCATTGTCCAGCACATTATTGCAGACGAGCTGGCAAAGGAGACAAAACTGACTTGTCCATCTATAATAGTTGCCGTGGCAACCGAGATGGCGTCATGTGTGGAAGGTGCAAGCCAGGGTACACAGAAACTCTGTTCTCCAAGAAATGTCAGCGCGTTGAAAAATGTAACGATCTCTGGATTTGGCCTCTGATTACAATTTACGCTGTAGTAATGGCATTGTTACTTATTCACAAACCACCCATTATACGATTCCTTATCAAAAACATCCTCTGGTTTGCGAAGTCGTCTAGAAATCGAACGGAGTATGTATCCCTTGATGAGCCCGACCATTACAACAAAGGCTACAAAAAGATCGTATTTCATTTCTATCAAATTTCCAGTTACTTGAATGTGGAACCAATCTCTGATGCGATCAAACAAACTGCTAGTGTAGTCAAAGAGGCGACACCTCTAGTTACTTTTTTCTCCGGCATCTTTAATTTTAGTCCAAGAGTTTCCAGTGGAGGCTATGGCTGTCCTTTTCCAGGACTGAACGTAATGACGAAAGAGATGATCCTCTCCTCAGGAGTATTTGCAACTTTAATCAGTGTACAGGCGATACTGATTTTACACTTTACTTGGAACAAGTTGAGGGGCCGACCAGACCCACCCTTAGCGCCCTACGTTTCTGCGACCTTGGAGACATTGTTGCTGGGTTGTGCAACATTGGCCAACACAGCCTTGAGGCTACTAACATGTGTCCCTGTCCTGGGTGAGAGCAGATTGTACTATGACGGCAACATTAAGTGCTGGCAATGGTGGCATTACTTATTTTTGTTCTACGTCGTTGTATTTCTTCTCCCATTTATCGCAGTTATCTACTGGGGCGCGATGAAGCTGCAAAGTGGTTTAATTTCTGTGGGACACTTCATTGGAGCGTGTTTTTTCCCGCTATGTTTCATTTCTTTATGGATCATTCAAAAACTATTTTTCCCGAGAAACCAACGACAATGCCAGGAAGTAAGCTTGAGCGAGACGCGTGTTGAGGTATTGAAAGTCCTCCATGATTCATTTCGCCCACCACGCCGCCACAAGAGAGGCTCTTTGTATTGGGAGAGCGTTCTGATTGGCCGCAGATTCCTGATCCTTTCATACCAGGTCTTCTTCCCAGATCCTCTCGTCCGTCTGTTTTTTATGGACATCACGTGTCTGTTCGTCTTCGCCTGGCACTTGACAGTGAAACCGTTTCGTGACAGAAAAGCTAACGTCATTGAAGCTATCTCTCTTGCTTTCTTGGTTGTCATAGCGACCATAAATCTAATTCAAGCTAATTTTCTATCGGCCGGTGTGACCCCCCAAGGACCCGTGAAAAGGCGTGTGATAATTTTGCAACAGGTCGAGATCTGCCTGTTAGCAATCGTGCCTCTTTTGTTGGGATTCCTTTGTATCTTCGCTATTGCCTCTCAGTTGGTTCGAATCTTAGTCCTTCTCTTTGGACTTGTACGCTTCGTCTTCCGTCGTGTGGTTCCCCTTCTCATTATCCGGAGGGTGAGGTCTCGGCAGCATCCCCATTGAAGGAACCCGCGCCCTTCAGGAAGTCTTAAAGGTTACACCAGTGATCTTGCTAATAAAAAGAACTGTGTTTGGATGCATTTTACGAATTCTGAAATTATCTACTAGAGATTAGCTTTAGCTGAATATGCTCCTGGACCAAAGAAGATACAATTTCCACGATGTACATCCTAGAAAAAAAATGAACATTTTATTTTTGGTAATTTGATTTAGTGATTGTATCCTCGTTAATAAACATAGAAAGCGTATGAATTTTCAAGAACACCTGTACAGTAGATTATCGCTCACTAAACCCTTTGCTCTGTTATTGACCTTCTCGTGAACATCGCAGACATGACCGTTGCAGTTCCCTGGAGCAACCGACTAACTTTCTTTCATTAAGTAGACGATCTATTTCGCGACTTAACTGGTGAACAGTTATTTGTATGAATTTCATCTTAGAGTTCTAGAAAGACTTTTTGTTGTAGCAGTTATAAGTGTGATTCTTTGATAAACTAATCATGGAAACTATGATGACAGAGAAAAGGGTACTGATTGTTAATGATTCCATTGTTCCATTCTCTTAAACTTCTTGTTGGCAACAAGTTCGAACGTAAATAGTATGTAATGTAAAGTAATGATTAAAATAATATCCACTGCCCTTGTTCTGTTCAGACTACTAAAATGTTTTTGTTCCGACTACTAAAATATTCTGTTCAGACTACTAAATTAACTTCAAGCGAAAAGCACATATTTTTATATACCATAATAGTAACGCAACAAAAAATGTCCTCAGTAGGGTGGTCCCGTCATAAGTCCAGTCTCACTGGGGGCGTGAGATCCTCCCACTGCGGGTCCGGACCCGAACAGCCCTTACAGGTCTCCGGTAGAAGCAGAACTCACCTTGTGTTAAACGACCCTGAAGATTTCCCTTTTTTATAGGTGGAAAATATCTCTCTTGAGCTGATATCTGTCAAAGAATATCAAGGGAGTGATAGACCCATTTCCGTTTACCGTATTTATGAACTTTTTTTTTAACCATTTTCTTTGTAAACTCTTCATCCACAGCTGTAGGTCGTTTGAAGCACTGTTAGCCGTCTGGAGAAAACGCTCTCAATCTCTATCGAAAGAGCTCAAACTGAAACACTAATCTGAATAGTACACTAATCAATACTGCATCTCGGTCTGAGTTGCTCAGTAAATTTCAGTGAAGAGCTGAAGGACTGAAGCGAAGTAGTTTTTTCCTCCCTGCGCCCTATTAAGTCATAATGATTCAGAAAGCGGAAGTTTTAAACAGCACACAGGTGAAAAAACACCACGTATCAGTCAATTAACACTCCATTTCACCTTATTCACATATCAAGGTCAAAATGCGTTGAAATAATCACTAGTCAGTGATTTATTCCTACCGTTATGAATATCTTTAATTGTTCAGTAATGTCGTGGCCCTGTGCCTGTGTTGCGTGACGGGGAGAATGTGAGTACTGAACTCGAGGGCTTTCCCCTGGACCGCCAAAGAGAGGCAGTTTTCACAGCTCCGCAGGTTGCCTCATGTACTTCAATGACGGTGGTAGGTAGCTTCTCCACTGGGTGATAGAATGGCTGGATTATGGTCCCATTCCGGGATGAGATAACATCAATGTTGATTTGCACCACAATGTTACCCGCTGTCCCAACGAGACTGCGGTGAACAGATTTGTAAATAACAATAAGTCCAACAGGTCATGTCTCGTGGTTCTCACCGGATATTTTTATTATATTTATTACTTCAACGTAGGTTTACGTGAATCAAAAACACAAGATTTCCTGTTGCGATAGGACGTTTTTTTAAGGGGATTGATGCAGTGAAATAGGCAGGTGAGTTGGTGAAATGAATTATCATTAGCGCCACATCCTTCAGGTACTGATAGTGACAAAATTAACAGCCGAAAAACTCAGGAAAAGCGTAAAACTGAGGAAACCAAAAGAAGAACACGTAAGATCTCGAATTTTTGGCAATCCCAGGAAATCTGTGCGACTCTAACCATTATTACTGTAAAGGAGAAAAAAATAAAACAAGCTTGCCTTATCTCTGGTACAGTATATAGTATATTATAGTTCTTCAGTTGTGATGGGGCGCAACGAAGAGTTGATATATTCAAGTGCAATTTAAATTTTCCTTCTGGATGGATTTCTAAAGTCAGTTTCGGAAGGGACAAAAGAAGTTTAGCTCACTCTGGAATCAATCGATCAAAGGTTCCATTTGCGCTTTATCGATAAATCGCCAAAGTGAACACCTACTGGTGATTACAAATATATCCCGCTACGTGGTGGTTTGCATATTAATTAACAAAATATTTATTTTATTCATTGCCAGTTGCGAAATTTAGGGGGAATTAGACCATCAGTACTCACTCTCTTTTTGGAATTAATTTCGATGCTATTCAATTGCTAAACATAATTTGGGCAAGATTTCCCCACAGCCCTATATTTGACATACTTTATTATACGTACAGCTTCTGGATTTAAAGAAATAATGACGAAAATAGATTGCCTTTTGGACTATAGCTTTGCTTAAGAATATTATGGGGTTATACAGAAGTATTTCCTTAATTTTTCATGATCACTAGGTGAGATGATACCGTTACAAAGTTTGTGATGTGAATTATTGAGTACAATCCCAATATTGTTCAGTGGGAAGAAGTAAAGAGGAAATATGTAACATCTCACTTGCCTTGTGAGAAAAAAGTGTTTCGTTTTAAAATAAAGAAACCAGATTTTCTTTTCTTTCATTCTCTGTCAAAGATCATTGTCACATCAAATGATTTGATCCTAATGTATGATTTGAAAAGGAGACACTGAATAGGGGCAAAAATCTGCATGACTTTGAGTATGAGAAAAGAAATATAAGTGATAGAAACCAACGTTTTGGTGCATCTTGTGCCATTATCAAGGTTACATAATTAATGATAAAATGGGGTTTGTGAAGAGGCTAAGTTGAAGCAAATTTGCATATAAGAGTGCCAAGCTAATTACACGAATACTTTAGCATGAAGAGAATCCGACTGTACATTCAATGCTGGTTTTAGATCTTGAATACACAGCATTTCATTAACAAGGCAGTCAAACTTGTTCATGCATTTCTTGATTACATTGAAGCGTACTAAGAAATTGTTCGGAACAGCAGTGTTACGTTCTTTGGAATAATGCCTGTAAATAGATGACACCTTTTGACGGTATCCCACAATGCGCGCATGAAGGTCACTCTTTGTGTACCCAACATAACCTGCATCGCACAGGTCACACTTGAATAAATAAACAACGCAATGCTGGGTTACAATGTTAGGCTTAGGCTCACGCAGGCTTAGATCTTGTTTAAGCTTGCGGCTAGTAAACACAGGTTGAATGGTCTTTTGCACCTTGCTGCTAAGATCTCCAAGTTGTTGTTTGACAGACACTGCAGCATCCTGATCTTTATAGGGGACAACTATCAGGATGGCATCATCGGTATGCTGTTTAGGCTGGTCCACTGCGACTCTCGAGGTGATAGTACTGTTAGGAGGCAGTGTGGCCGAGTGGTTAGAGTGTCGGACTTGTAATCCGCCGCTCCCGGGTTCGAGTCCCACCCTGACCACTAGATTTGTTTCCAATAGCCCCGTGTTGAGATCCTTGGCCACGCTTATAAATAGCCAACTGGTTTGCCTCCGGCCGGTTGGGGTTCTTAATGATGTTATGTTCAATTTAGACCATTTGTTTCATTTGTTTGTAAGGACCACAATTGAAACTACTGGTTCACCAGTAATTGTGTAATCCTATAAAAAGACTTTTTTTTTTTTTTTTGATGGTGGAATCATTAAGGTGACTCGGATACCTCGGCTTATGGAAAACTTAATTCTCTCAAATGCTCACATTCTTCTGAGAAATGCACTCAAGATGACGATAGCAGGTGCATGCAATCAAGCATGGTGATGAGCAAGCCATGCTTGTAGCAGCTGTCCACATGGCTATGATAGTGCAGGAGTAGCCCTGTGTTTCTTGGTTTAATGTAAACCTTTGTTTCAACACGTGATGTGCGATTTAAAAACTGCACCGCAAGGAAAGGGAGCATCCCATTTTTCTCTACCTCCATAGTGAAGCTCATGGCACTATGTGCATGGTTCAGGGTATCCAAAAATTCTGTAGCTACTGCTGATCCAACATCCTGACTAGAATGTCATCACATAGCAAGAGATCTTAGCAAGAGATCTTATGTAGCAGGAGATCTTAGCAGCAAGGTGCAAAAGACCATTCAACCCGTGTTTACTAGCCGCAAGCTTAAACAAGATCTAAGCCTAACATCGTAACCCAGCAATGCGTTGTTTATTTATTCAAGTGTGACCTGTGCGATCCAGGTTATGTCGGGCACACAAAGGGCCACCTTCACATGAGAAAAACTAACTAAAAATAACAGGATCTACCAAGTGAAAGAATGAGGTTAGGATTTCTGTTTGTATAAATAATAATTGTTTTGTGCAGCACTGTTCTCATTTTTATCTTGAACCCGCACGTCTTAAGCTTAAGATATATTAGATTAGTTTCTAATTGATTTGATTGCTTTATCTCTCTCCTGCAGATCCAGAAGTCACAATTCCATTGATGTTACTCTAACTGAGCTCTCACTTCCATTTCGTGAACACCCTGGTTAGTGTTCTGTGAATGATACACACTCTTAGCCAGAATGGCCAGTATGGCAAATCAAAGCAACAAGACATCTGTCTCAGGGGAAAATAGTGATGTGGCTGTGGAAGAAGACATCTCAGTCAGGGTGTTTGATGATGACACTTTAGCAGTACCTAACCAATATAATTTTGCAGGTACAATAAACATAATGCAGATGAATTCGAAAAGCTTATCCTGCTGCAGTGCTTTACTCTTCAGTATTTCTAGGCGATAAAGGATATTTCTCCTTTTTATTCTTTGAAGATCACTCAACTCTCGGCATTTTATCTGACATTTATTTCACAAACCTTAAAAGAGACTAACATCGCTAGTTTTAAAAATAGTCTTGAGCTTCTTCTCTAAGTACTCCTAAATTAACTCTAACTCCAGCTGTTGGTTGGAAACCACCTCACTGTACGTCAAATGACTGAACGTGACTGTGGAGAGTACCAAAAGGGTGGTATTAGAGACACAATTACCTAAAGTCTTCGTCTGAATCGACAAAACACACACGGCATCTATGTAAAGCAGAATTTTTTTATTTTTTTTTTCTATTTCACTTTTAAATTTTAGATCATGTTTATATAGATTAAAATAGATTGTAACTGTAATAATAGATTGTAATAATATTATCATTTTATCTGATAGATTTACCGTGTTTAAATAAAAAATAAAGTTCAAAAAGTTCAAAGTAAATGGATAACTGGCTTCAGTGTATAATAACATCTAAATCAGTAGCTAGACTGTCATGTCAAAAGTACTACCAAGTAATCTCAGTTCCATCGTTAGAAATTAAAATTATTGTGTAACTGTGTATTTTTTTCTCATTTCTTGTAACTTAGACTCTGGTTCCATGTGTATCAGTGTAGGGGATGAAGAAGAAGATCTCTTTGATGGTAGCATTGCCTCTCATTTTTGTGATGACAAGAAGGGAGTGTTTCTTCCTGGTCTTATAGTTACAGCCAAAATTATTGATGTTCAACGTGCTCCAAGAGCTCATCCTTTTAATCCTAACTTGTAAGTTTCTGAATCAGTTTTTTACTGTTACTTTGGATGGAAATAATTTCATCACCCTAAATGTAATGTAATGATTCAATTTAGTGCCCTGGGCACTTATTTACTTAAGAGCGTTTCTACAGGGCGGGCACTTCTTTGAAATGGGGCATTTATTAGGGGCAGGTCACCTATTTCTTTGTTAAGAAACCGCAGAATGTGCAAAACAAAGCTTTATTGACTATTTAGAAGGAGTCAAGAAGACTGGAAAACAGACTTGTTGTTCCTAGATCCTTCCTAGCTAGAATGACCAGCTAAGTAATCGCTGTAAATTTGAAGAAGAGATCATTTGTTTGAAGCAATTGTGCACTCACAAGGACATAATAGAGACACTGAGGGGAAGACTGCTGTTTTTGTACTGAGGCTTTAAGTGAGCAATTAAAGCAAGATGGACCATTATTGACCCCAGTGTACATATATTCTAACAGTGCTAACATTGAAACAGAACAGTGGCACCCATAGGATTTAAAGCTTATTGAAATAGGGGGGCTTATTGGTATAGGGGTGCTTATCAGTGTAGGGGCACTTATTGGTACAGGGGTGCTTATTGGGATAGGGGTGCTTATTGGGATAGGGGTGCTTATTGGGATAGGGGTGCTTATCAGTTTAGGGGCACTTATTGGTACAGGGGTGTTTATTGGGATAGGGGTGCTTATTGGGATAGGGGTGCTTATTGGTATAGGGGTGCTTATCAGTTTACGGGCACTTATTGGTACAGGGGTGCTTATTGAAATAGGGGTGCTTATTGGGATAGGGGTGCTTATCAGTGTAGGGGCACTTATTGGTACAGGGGTGCTTATTGGGATAGGGGTTCCTATTAACAAAAACAAACTTGAGAGACTGAGTGCTTACTGAAATGAGGGTGCTAGATTGAATCATTACAATATGTCATAATGGATTTGAAAAGTCTTATTCAACAAATTGAGAAGCCTTAACTGTGCTCTGTTCTGTTGTAAAGTACGTAGGAAGCAGCTAGAGCATGAAAGGTGTGTAGGGAGAAATACAAGATGTAGTCATTAGTGTTTCTCCCCAGTTCTTCAGTGCTCTAGCCACTTCCTAAGTGCAAATTGGCAGAGAGTGTGACAGCTTTAGCTCTATTTTTTGTACTTTGAGAGTATGCTTAGAGCCTGAATAAAGCTATAAGCTCTGGTGCCCTCAACATGCTTAATACCATTTGCACTTTTGATAGTGCACTAGATCTGAGGGCCACACTCAACCTGCAAAAAAAGTTTAAAACTCTGTCAGTTAAAAGCCTGTTGCCTTTGAGAAAGCGTGATTATATCCTAGAACCCAATCAAGTGTGTCACTTTAAACATAGGTTGAAATAAATTATTTACTACATTTATTCAGTATTATGATATGGTAAGGTAAATCTAAGCTTTCTGATGGGTTCTTACTTGGTCCATATTTTGCTATATGGACCATTTCCATGGAAACAGTAATAAGTCATGAATTTTTGGTTGCTGAAGCTGGCAAATTCAAAATAAACAAGTTTGGTCCAAGTGCTTTATAGTAAACTTCTTAGTACTAAACTTGTTTGCTCTAGTCATAAAGGGGAACATATTTTGTACAGGGGAATATATTGTGTGGATCTCCCTTTGCTTGGTTGGTACTGCCACAACTGTGGACAAATAATCATCAATACAACCCTCACCCTTGGTTGGTGAGGAGTTAATATCATTAACTTTCTCGTACTATTGGTTCCTCCAAGGTACACTATAGAACTAAGGCACGGTGACTTCACTTGGGTCATCAGACGTCGTTACAAGCACTTTCTAAAACTTGATGCAGAATTACTACTTCACAAAGTCAATGTTCGCCGACAAAGCCTAAGAAGAGATCTAAGAGGAGATCACAGAAGAGAGAGTCATGTTTATCTGCCAAGTCGTCACTTGCCCAAGCGACCAGATATGTTTGCTACAACACCCAATATGGAAAAAAGAATACTGTCTCTGGAGAAGTACCTTCAGAGGATTTTGGACAGTCCAAACTATCGTAACCACAAGGAGACTCTGAATTTTTTAGAGGTCAGCCATCTCTCCTTTCATTTCGATTTAGGAGAGAAGGGAAAGTAAGTGCACTAAGTAACATCACTTTTTATTGGGAATGAGTATGTTGTAGGTAAAAAAATTTTAAAGATGATTTATTTCTAACCAGGTAAATTATTTTTAACTAGTTTATATTTTCAATCAACTTTGGCGTGTGGTGAAAAACAGGGGCATGTTTTTTTTTGGGGGGAGGGGGGGGAGAAGGTTCTTGAACAAGAGATTCAAAAACCCCACACTTTCCACCCCACATCCTCCTGACCCCCCCACTTTTTCACTTTTGGTACCCCCCAACCACATTTCCTTTTCCAGCCTCCCCTATCATGCTGCTTTTATCAGACTAACCCTATGTACATCATTTATATGTAACTCTGTATTTGTTTCCTCTAGTAATTAAAGTTTTCCAGATTTAGAGTCTGCCTACTTATCCACTAGTCCACCAGTAATTGATTTTTTTTCAATATCATTAATTATCGGCCCCAGGCTTAACTTGGCCAAAATGTTGATTGATGCAAAACTGGAGCATGCTCAGTTGTGTCCAAATTGGACTTTACATCAAAAGCTTGGCTTTGTGTGTAGATAATGAACAATTTCAATAATATAAAAAAAAACAACTTTGGAACAACTCAAACAATAAACAAGGAGGACAGTAAATTAACCAATGGTATGCCAAGAAACAGCTTCAAAATTCATAGAAAAATCATGAAGAATGTGGTTTATTAGAGTTTGAAGTTAAAGCCATCAAATGAAAGCAGTAGACATTACAGAACGACAATATTTTGTCCAAAGTTATGAAGATTGTAGTTCCAATTTACAGTAAGGACTCCTTTCTATGTAGTTTTGTAACTATAGCTCCATCTTTTTTCCGAAAGTGATTTATATAACAATGGATTGATTGATTTGTTCATTTAATATTTTAGGGAAGGTGTTCTCAGAAAGCGAGCTGGGGGTCATCGATTTCCTGCAAGCTGCTGCAGTTGTTGTGCTGGTCTTTCATGGGGAATTTGGGATAAAAGGTCTGTTGTCTCTTTGTGGTAATTTCCCAACGTTAAGTTTTTTCGGTATTTAAAAAAATGAACTACTATCATTTGGTTTGTAGCCTGAAACAAGATGTAACTGTCCAGCTCATGGCCCAGTGGAAACAAGATCTGAATAATCTGTAGTTATGTTCATTGATATTATGTTAACCTGTTCTTGAGTGAACTAAACAGTGTGTGGTCAAATTTAGTTTTACTTTATAACTTTGCCATGATTACACTTTTCATTAAGTGTTTTAGTCATTCTAGATCAGGATGATATGCATAATGTCCTAATATAGCCTCCCATTTGTTACTTCCTGGAATCCTATGGATGCACATGTAACTTACTAAAGGCCAGGTCCTTGGAGGAAACCCCAGTTGTGATGTAAATGTTTTCGGTAGCATTTGACTGGAATGTTATTGTGCACAGTTCACTGAGTGTGTTGTGAGTGGTTTAACAAACAATTCATCAATTTATCCCTTTTTTGTTCGTTTGTGTGTTTGGGGCAGGTGGCTTCTGGTGAAAGATAGTTTTATTGCCTATGTCAGGTAAGGAAAGCTTTAAAAATCAAGAAATTAATGGCTTGATACACAGATTTAGTAATAATAATAATAATAATAATAATAATAATAACACCTTTATTTAGACACGATAATGTTTAAAGCTGAACAGCTTGTGGGGTTGTGTGTAAATCCAAATAAACTCTAAATTAATTAAATTCAAATGATGATGGTTTTTGAGGAGAGGGGAAAACCGGAGTACCCGGAGAAAAGCCTCTCGGAGCAGAGTAGAGAACCAACAAACTCAATCCACTTATGACGCCGGGTCCGGGAATCGAACCCGGGACACATTGGGGGAAGGCGAGTGCTCTCACCACTACGCCAACCCTGCTCCCTTAGTTTAACTAAGGAGTAGATAGAGCTTCATTTGGGGAATTTTAACGGCTATCATAGGCATGCGAAATCGAACATTTGTGTGTATGGGTATGGACCAATAGAGTTACATACATTTTTGAGCAACCATTTTGTGTCAACCAAATTTTCATGGCTTCATGGGTTATCATATTTTTTTTTGAGCGATACATCAAAGTCCTGTTCGTGTGTTTTAAAATCTTAAGCCACTCTATCGGATGAGATTTAATTTACTCTCAAGTCAGTGATCACAAGTGATAATTTCCACTGTGGCTTTTATGTATAATGCTGAGTCTGGTGTACCCTAGGAATGAGAATATTCTCATTTCAATTATAGTCCCAAGGATAAACAAGTAAGAGGGGTAGTGTTAATGGACAAAGAATTTACCTTCAAGTATGGAAGGAAACAAACTGGTGTGCGGAATGGCTTACTGATCCACAACCAGGCAAGGTGTGGAATTTGTTATGTTAAGAAATCTTGTGTTCTAGTTCATATCTACACCTTCCAATTTTTCTCAATTGAGAATTGTCTTGACAGGGGTAATTATAGAACTTTAAGAAGTTGCAGGTGACGATGACAAAATTGAAAGTCACAATGATAATGATGATGTGAAATATCTCTTATTAACCAAGTTTGAGGTCTGTACTGTAAGTTATGGTCCAAGTTTCGTCCACTCTGATTTAATTGGCCGAAGCACAGTCTGCAGTCCATAAGTCCCAGTGGGATTTATGACCTGTCTTACAGTAAGAAGCGGGTAAAGGTAAGGAATCGGTTCCCGCTAACCCTTCGGCCAACAGTCGGCCCACAGTCGGCCCACAGTCGGCCAATGCGTCGGCCGACTGTTGGCCAACTGTCAGCCGAATGTAAGTGGACTGTCAAAATTAAACTTGGAGGTTTAGGAAACCCATGTTGGTTGATCTTACCGACCCGTTGGTGGGGATCGGATTATTTACCTTTACCAATCATAAGGGGGCTTTCGATTTCGATTTTGATTTCTGTAAGGATGAAGATAATGACGAAAATGTGGCATCAGTGATATGCGCTAAGCCGCCGTTAGTAACATGGATTAGAAGGACGTCTTCTGTTAGTAATTCTAATAACAACCAGTGACAGTGGTAATGACAAAGACAATGATAATCAAAATTTTTCTGTTGACGGTCATACTATCGAGAGAATGGGGGAAATACGGCTTTTAGGAGTTCAAATCGATGAAAAATTTAGTGTTACTAGTCATATCAGTGATCTATGCTCTAAGGCCAGTCGAAAAGTAGGAGTCCTAATGCGGCTACGCAATTTGATACCCTGTGATGCTAAACTATCACTTTACAGGTCTTCAATTCTGCCCCATCCAACCTACTGTCATCTAGTATGGCACTTTTGTAATGCATCGGATCGGAGAAAGCTTGAGCGGATTCAGGAGCGAGCACTTAGGGCGGTGTACAAAACTAGATCAGCGTCCTATCAAGAACTGCTAAGTCGCGCCAAACTACCGACGTTGTACAATCGGCGCCTACAAGACATTGCCACTTTGATGTTTAAAGTTAAGCACAGTCTCGTACCCGAGAATATTTCTGACTTATTTAATATAAAGAACACTCAGTATAATTTACGGAACAGTGACTTCGAACTGCCAAGATTCGAAACTGTAAGATTTGGTAGGAATTCTATTAAATATATGGGACCTCTCATCTGGTCGAAGTTACCAAGACACCTAAGAACGATAGAAACTCTAAATTCGTTCAAGAAGAACATAAGAAAAGTCGACCTTTCAACTCTCGTTGAAATTTAAAACTTAACTAAATAACTTTATAATCTTTTTAATTATCTACTGTAAATAACTATTATCTNAGAATATAGAGTTAAGCTCAAACAACATTGTGGGCCAAGAAGTGAAAAAGAATTTCTTTCTGCATGACTCGAGACTAGTCAATTAGCTTTTGATGATTAGGTTTAACTAGTTCTTACTAGGTAATTGTTCCCTTCGAGTGCATAGGTTCGTAGGTTTTATAGTTCTTATATTTTTAGTTACTTTTAACATAATTTTACCTTAAGATATTGTGAAGCGCGACTGAATATATCCACATAGAGGTCTGCGCTATTTAAATGTAAATTATTATTATTATTATTATTATTATTATTATTATTATTGATGTCACAAAGAATAAAATTAGAGAGTGACATCGAGAATTTTATGAGGGTGAAGCCCAAATCAAGTATCATGCATAGTAATCTACAGCAAAAATCTAATGGTTTGTGTTCAAATCTGCTTTTAGTCCAAAACTTTAAAAGAAGATAGATTTTTGAGTAATTTCGAGTTGTTTACGACCTCACCATGGTAGGTTTCTCGCTTTACCCACTATCCAGTTAACAAATAGAATTGCATGTAGCCGTGCGTTAGACTCACGATAATATGGAATCCATTTGTTTTCTACGATAAAAAGGCAAAATGTTAGTAATGGTGAGGTTATGCTTTCGTCTGTCATCCATTAGATCATAAAAAAGAACCAATCAAAATGCGTGTAGGATTCAGCTTATTGTATGACACGTAATAGAAAACGTAGCCTGACCAATCAAATTGCATGACCAATCAAGTTGGAGCATTTGGGAAAGAACGCTGGTAAATTTAGGCTACTGTAAGGGTCATGCAAAGTTCGTCAAGCGTGACTGATCAGATGCGATCAGTGTTAGCTATAGTAGGGGTTTCAATAAAATCTGGTTACTGGTTGTCTGCAAGCAGGCTATCGTGTCTGAGTTTCGTCTTTTCCGGGTACAGCCGCCTACAACACCATCGACAGCCACGGGGGTTGAGATCCCTGGTTAAAGTCTGCATTTCACTTCTTAGAAAACTTGATGTTCATCTGATGAGATTAGCACCCACTTTCTCTCCGTTATTTAACTTGCTTTGACATTATCTCTTTCGATAATTGAACAGTGAGTGGATGAAATCGCTTGTTCATGTTATGGCAACGACTGGTGCTGACTGGATAAAGGAACATCCTCACGGCTCGTATGCTCCTGTCAGGGAAAATTCTTATGCTCAGTGGTGAGTATGATGTCAGCTTTTTCATCAGTATTTTTGGCTCTGGTGTACACATCATCATGATACCAGTCGCTTGGCTAGACTACGAGCTGTCTCTCCTTTCCGGCGAAGTCCATCGCGCGAGTTCTTGGGAGACGGTTAAAGCAGCAGAAATATGGCAAAAAAAAAAATGAATGAAATGAAATTGAATCTAACCTTTTTGCGTGTGCTGATTTCGTTTTTAGGTTTGTTGACGGTGAGGCATATTTTGATGCTGTTGCTGATGCTTTAGAGTCTGCAGAAGAGGAAATCCTTATAACAGGCTGGTGGTGAGTTTTTTTTTTTAATCTCCTTGATGACTTTGAGGTGAGAGACTTTATAGTAGGGTGAAATGCGAGGGAATTGCCCATGCTCGCTCTTCTCAGTCGATGTCGGAAATCGTGCGTAATATTGTGATCATTAGTCGTTTGTTACCCTTAGCGTGATTTTCGCTATGTTTGATCATTAACAATGTGACTTGAGAAAGTGTCAAATGACACACCCAAAACCAATGATTGACAGTGATAAAAGATGTAGCAGAACACGTGAGCGGAGAGGAGACTTTTCAACAGTGAGAGCGAAGGGAGTTGTTGTTGATTTCGTTCTTAGCGTTCGGTTATTGATAATAAACGAGAAGAAATTGGGATTTATGTGAGTGTGTTGGTTCAATGTTGGAGGCAATTCCCAACACAACTTGGCCATTTCTGACCGCGTGTTCATGTTGTTTTAAGAGAGTGGCATAAGATGAAAACATAATGTATAATTTGTCTTATGTTTATTTCAGTTTTGTTGGCTCCGAAATTCAATTGCCCTTTATTGTTAGTAATGCTAATGTACTGAACTTGAGTATTGACCCATGAAATGGTAAATAAGTTTAATTATGATGAGGCTTTTGTCGTTATCAGGGTCAGCCCAGAAATATACCTCCGTCGGCCAGTCACTGCCGGCCATGAATGGCGACTGGACATTACGCTAAAGAGAAAAGCGGTAATTATCATGAAATGTTAAGTTCTTCTGAGCAGTAATGAAAGCGGGTTGTTACCCAACTCTGTGCTCTTCTAGGAAACTCTTGAAGTAAAAGTTGAAATAAAGAAATTGGAGTTTAAGTGGCCCTCCGTTTACTGTTTCCAGGTCGAGATTTTGTTAAGTCGTTGGTTCATTTGGTGCGTGGGAAAGAAAGCGCCATACTCGAACCATACCTGCTCAGTGGTCAGCGTATGGCTTTACTGAGGAGAGTTCATTTTCACGAATTTTTTCCAAAACAAGATCCTTCCTTAGAACAAAAATTTCCTTGCTCTAAACGCTTATTTTTCTGTACTTCAACTGTGACCCCTAGTTTTGAAATGATTCTCTCATCATGTATCATTTGACATGAACTTCCTGGGAAAATTGTGACAATACTTTAGAAGGTTCAATTTTTAAGATTTGTAACTCAAGCTTTATCAACTTTGAAGTGTATTTTAAATTTTGCATCTCTAATACTTTTAGGAGAGTGGCGTGAAAGTTTATGTTTTAATCTACAAAGAAGTTGAGCTGGCTCTAACGCTGAACAGTGCGTACACTAAAACTACTCTTATGGCTTTACACCCAAACATCAAGGTAGATTCGTTAGTTATTCACTTGTAAAACCATTCATATCGTTGTTGAAAGAATATTGTTTGTTGACATTATAAATTTGTGGACGCCTTGGGATACGAAAAACAGTTTAAAATGGACTGACGAATGCATCGCATAATTTTGTTCACTTTCGTTTGGTAGAATGGACCGTTCTTCCAAATCTCCGTTGAAAACTGAAACTCGCTCAATATTTAGATACACAGGAGACTCCTGTCAGCACCTCAATAAAACAATTTTTCCAAATTTTCAACTGATAATTCATAAAGCTTTTATTAACCAGGAGTTTACTTACCAGATAAGATACATGGCTTGTGGACGGTATGTGCTACGTTGCAAATCAAATTAATGACTGAACATTTTACTCAGTTTCTCGTTTCCTAGACACTAAGCGTTGCATTAACCAACAATTTCCAGAACGTGACCAGCGAGCCCGCACCTTCGGCTGGAGACTAAGCCCTTATTTGGAAAATAATCTTTCTTACCAAGAGCATTATTTTTCCTTGAGATAACTTTTTATTTCGGTAGCCATTCAGTTCTGACGTGTAAGTGCATTAAATTGAGAATTAGACCTAGATATTCAAAGTTCAGAGGCTCCCATTTGTTACGATCTTATTAATAGGATTACTGTTATCATTGTTATCACTAGAATCATATTTATTATCATTATTATTATTATCATCTTATGCCATGTTGGCGTAGGAAGAAAAATCAGAGGTTGCATCTTATTTAAGGAACATGTTGATGAAAAGCGAGCTATTCTTACTGGTTGTCTCTGATTCAGGTGCTGCGGCACCCAGACCACCTCCCTGGGAAAGGTGTAATCTACTGGGCTCACCATGAAAAATTGGTGGCTATTGACCAGAAGGTGGCCTTTATTGGAGGTAACTGGAACCTTGCGTCAATGTAATACGTAAAACAGCTAATGACTGTCAGACGCTCTTTAAAAAAAATTTATTGCCGCTGATAGTCTTTATTAGCGATTACTATAAAGTGGAAATTGACAACTCAAAATAGCCTGCCAATAAGTGTTTGTCAATTACCATATTGCACTTGGTGGTTTTGGAAAGTGAATAGGACAAAATAATGATTGTGATTTTTTTTTTTTCACGATCATGGAATCAAGAAACGATTTTTCTCCGGGATTAAGATTCTAATCTTCAACATCGGATGTTCAACATCCGAGCTGTAGAGACCTGGTGCTGAGTTTCACCTTAGACCAGTTTTATTATTGACTATATTTAAGGCATCAGTGCTAGTATCTGAACAACTTTCCACCCACCCCTCCCTTAAACCAACCTCAACCCTAACTTGTTATCAGTTGACTGTTGTTGGGTTAGGGAGGGGTGGGTGCATAGTTGCTCAGTGTCAGTATCTGAGCAACTTTGCACCCACCCCTCCCCTAACCCAACCTTAACCCTAACTTGTTATCAGTTGACTGTTATTGGGTTAGGGACGGGTGGGTGCGCAGCTGCTAAGATAATGACATCGATTTGCTGAAACAGCAATTTCGAAATAGTTAACTCAGTTGGTTGTGTTTTTAGGTCTCGACCTTTGTTTTGGTCGCTGGGACAATCATTTGCACCGTCTGACCGACTTTGGATCTGCGGTTCGGCCTCCAACAATAAACAAAACGGTAACCTCGTCTCTTTTTCATTCATGAATTCGTTAGCAAGCATCTAAAGGCGTTTCATGTGTGGTATTGTTTGTTTTGTTTTTTTTTGCCAACAGGAACAAGAGATCAGAAAAATTGGCGCTCTGATTGTAGAAGGAACAATGGAGGGGTTTGACGTGCCGAGATGTTCTGACTTCACCGACAAAGTCACAGTGGAGGTAGAACCCGGAACATCAGGAGGAAACAAACTTTGGCTGGGAAATGATTACTCGAATCCAATCACCAGAGATTTTTTTGACGTCCACAGACCATATGACGGTATGCTGTATCTAAAAGCTGTGTTCAGTGGCTGTCAGTAGTTTGTTTGGCATTTTTGATTGCTTTGGTACTGGTTTGACTAGACTCTGGCTCGACATGTTCTTTTTCTGAGCTCCCATTGACTCTTAGTAATATTTAACTTTGTTTTGATCGGCTGTTGTGATCGCTTTGGTACTGGTTTGACAAGAATCACTCGAACTCCAAGCGCTCTGTTTAGTGCTCAGTTTGGAATTTTTGCGCTTACGTGTCGTTGCTGTTGATCAAACAGCTGTTGTGCCGCCCTTCTGTAAACTTTCGTAATGTAAATATGCTGTATGGGGAAGTTTTATCGCACTTTGCATCATTTTTTTTTTTCGTTTTGAAATAGGAATCAGTATAACAGGATTCTAGCAAATGACTCTCCTCTGTACTGATTCGATACTTTATCGTAAGCCTTTTTGTTGTCGTATCGGTTTGTTTTAGATTCCGTTGACAGAGGCCGTGTTCCTCGGATGCCCTGGCATGATGTGGGCATGCGCGTGTTTGGTGTTCCCGCAAGAGACATCGCTCGGCATTTTATTCTGAGATGGAATGTTACCAAGGTGATGATAAGAAGATTGAAGATCAAAATTGTTTATTAAGCTTCCAAGGATTTAGCACCTTTGTGCTAACTGGACCCCAAAATAAGTTAATTCTAAGGGAAAATGTTGAAAATTCCAACTGGTGGGCGGTAAACTAATTGTATCTCGCGCAGTGGGAGAGTGGAACCCCGGACTACAGAAAAGCAAGTCCTATTGAGTAACAGAGTGAAGGAGTTGAACTTTGGACCGCACACAGAAAGTTGAATAGACGGTGTCATTCTTTTTAATGTTTGTCTGTTAGAAGAATCGACTCCTGTATTTTTCTGGTTCTGAGCCTAAAAATAATGGCCAGATGGAAAGAAATACAAACACAGCCAGACCGAATGGGGATATTCCCTCATTACGTTGATTGTGGGCATCTCAGCCTCTTAGCTGCTGTTATCAACAACACAGAGGAGTTTACTGCCCCCTAGTCTGTTCTGTTATTCACAAGTGATGTACATATGAGCACAGACGTTGTAAATGTATGTATCTTTTCTTCCTTTCCAGCTCGAAAAGGTTAAAATGTATCATGACATTCCTTACCTTCTCCCAAAGTCGTACACCAAACTTGCTAATGAAAAGCCAGCGGCATTAGAAGACTATAACGTGGTGGATTGCCAAGTGAGTAGAATACTTCTTTCTTTTCTCCATTTTCAAGAAAAGTTCATCATTTCCTATTAATGCTTAAGGATGTGGTCGTATTGGATGAAAGAAAGTAGGCTGTCTGTCTGGCTTTTCAGACCTTTTTACTCCTTCCCCAGTAAACAAGACATGAGAAAACTCTGATTCAATCTATAAATCAGCTAGTCAGTCGGTCAGTCAGTCGGTCATTCAGTCTCTAGTCAGGCAGTCAGTCGGTCAGTCAGTAATTCCGTCTTTAGTCAGTTAGTCAGTCAGTCAGTCATTCAATCTCCAGTCAGGCAGAGTCAGGCAGTCAGTCGGTCAGTCAGTCATTCCGTCTTTAGTCAGTTAGTCAGTCAGTCAGTCATTCATTCTTCAGTCAGTCAATCGTTCAGTCAGCGAATCAGTCATTCAGTCGGTTCAGTCATTCAATCCGTTAGTCAGTCAGTTAGTCAGTCAGTCAGTCGGTCCGTCGGTCAGTCTGTCGGTCAGTCAGTCTGCCCCGGTTATTCGGCGAGCTGATTGCTTAAGTCTGCGCCCTAGAGTGTATGGGCAGAGTTGGTGGGGGCGAAATGAAAGTGTTTCTACCAACAAATATTGATTTTTATTAGATACTCCGTTCCCTCTGTTCGTGGTCAGGTGGTGTTCCTCCAGAAAACTCTATTCATGAGGCATACATAAAGGCTATCGAAGCATCTCAACATTTCGTTTACATCGAGGTAATAAAAAAACTCAGAGATGAATTACAGGGTTGGTTCAGAGACTATGATATTGAAAAATTAAACATTAAATCTGAAAAGTACTTCTGTCCTGAAAGAAGTGTGTTGGTTTTTTTTTCCCACTATTAAAAAGCATTCGATTAGACAGTGAATGTTTTCGGGTTAAAAAGAATTCGAGATGAGTTTTCTATTGGTCAGTTAGAATGTGTTATCCTAATGTAACAATAAATGTTGATGGAAGTAGACAACTACTAAAAAGGAACCTTTATTTTGCTTTTTGTCTTCAGAACCAATTCTTTATCACTTCTCTTTTCATCGACAATGTCAAGAATGAGATTGGACAGAACCTTTTGTGGAGAATAGAGAGAGCACACAGGTTTGATGAATATTTTCTTTTCTTTAGCACTAAGCCTATTTGATTCTTAAAGGGATCGATAAAGTCTGAGCATTGTAGTATGAAAGTGGACACTGGGCGTCGCCTTTCCCGCCGTGTGATACCCATAGGACATTCCATTCTTGCAAAAGAGAAAAAACTGCAACAATGTTAAAGTTGTTCTGCTCTGTTTTGCTTTTCCCTTAATGCATTTTCTTTAATGTTGTCATGGTAATTATTTCCTAGAGATGGCAAAAGCAAAATGCTTCTGATAAGGCTTGTAAGAGATCTTTATTCACTTTGTTATTTTGTTGTACTGCTGTAGATCATGTGATGCTATTCGGTGGAATATTTTCTTTGAAAATTAGTCAAATCTAAGCTTCGTATACGACCCCCATCTCCTTAAGAGAGAAGTCTCAAAAGCTCCCAAGGATTTCATGTAATCTGTAATAGGTAACTAGCAACTGCCAATCTATTGATCTGTTTTAATTAAGCAATAGAGGACGTTTTTTCCGAGCTCTGTAACTTGATAAAGCCGTGCGGGATGTTGGGAGAACACGGGGAAGCAGCATACGAAGGTCACGCGTAACACGGATAATTTGTCTGCGTTACGCAAAAAATAAACCAATTTAGTGACATGCGAGTGATGGTTTAATTTAATTGATGCGCCAAAAGAAGCTGAGAATGTTTCCCCCATTATTAGCGATCATTCTCAAAGTAAATGATTGAATTTACATGGTTTTAAATATGTTCTGACTGTCAGTATCGCGGATCACACTTTTCTCGTTTTCAACAGAGAGGGTGAAAATTTCAAAGTTATAGTCGTTATGCCACTCCTACCAGCCTTTGAAGGTAAGAGTGTAAGAGAACATAACCAGCTTACTGAGTCGCCGATTTTTGTCAGAAATTTTTAACCCCCAGCTAAAAGGGTTACGCTATATATTTCCCCTCAAAAAAGTGTTTTTCAATTTATCCCGATTTAGCTGAAGCCAACTACGAAACTGAAAGGAACGCATGTTTTATATGTGGAATTGATTCGCGCTTACGGTGTGAAGCGTTACTAAAGTGGGAAGGTCACTGATGTATAGAGACCCATTTATTTCTGGACTGGTTGATAAAGGAAGCATTCAAACTGCAAAACAAATAGATTAATGGTTCTAAATATGAAATGACATTTGAGAGCTGAAGTTGTAACGAAAATGTTACCTACAATTCGTGGGGGAATCCATACATCTCTATGTGTTCCTTCGACGTCTTCGGTTGACCGTTATAGAAGTATTGAATTCGTCGCGTGCTGTTTCAATAAAAGGAGGGTAATTGGTCTCCAGATTCCCTGGGACAACATTCTGGCGCCAAAAACGGGGTAATTACACTATGGGTTATTTATATGAAGTACACGCTAAAACTATTATTACCCTAACCGCAAATCAGGAATAATGGGGAGTAATGGGGAAGTAAGATTCTGGTGGCATGCAGTCTTACTTGTTGTTCCATTCGTTGTTTTTCTCTTTGTCAGGGGAGATTGGTACACCCACTGGTCGATCGATTGGCGCCATTACTCACTGGAACTACAGGTCAATTTGTCGTGGATCGCATTCTCTCTTGCAAAGATTAACAGAGCTTGGTATAAACTTGTTTTTGCATGCCTATACTCCTTAGAATCTATTTTGTTTATTTAATCACTTTCACCAGAGTATGGTGAGGGTCGCACAACAGAGCGAGGCTCCAAATTAAGTGCGCCCAATATCCCACCCATCCCACCCCAGTGGAGGACATCCATCACACAGTAATCTCGTGTGTGGGAAATTAACGTCTCCTACCCCAACCCTGCAGGAGACGGGACCTCCATTTATTCGTCCCTATCCGAGAAGACTAGAATATCTAACCATTTCTTGATGTTATAGAAAGGCAGCAAATTCTTCTCAATTATTTTAAGACCCTGAGTGTTGGTCCGGCCGGGGCTCGAACCCTCGACCTCCCGCACAACAGTCCAGCGCTCTATTCATTGAGCTAACCGGGAGGCGGTTAAGTTTCATTGTGTTTGGCTGAAGGCATTCAGTTGTAGTTATGGTTCTTATCCTTCCTCCTTTTTAGTCGGTGATCCTTCCAAATTCATATCATTTTATGGTCTGAGAACTCACTCAGAAATGCATGGAAAACCCGTAAGTGAATACAAAGTTGATTCAGTTGAGCACATCCCATTTTATCTTCGAATTTCTTGTTTACTAGTCGGCCGTTTTTTGCAGGTTACACAGCTCCTGTATGTGCATAGCAAGATGATGATTGTGGATGACAGCACAGTGATTATTGGCTCAGGTATGTTAACACGGTTGGGATGCGTGGTTGTAATCATACAACTGAAAAAAAAGGATGCGTGGTTGTAATCATACAACTGAAAAAAAAAGGCTGAAGTTGACTATCTGAGTATTCGTCCTTTTTTCTTTCTTAAATCTTGCGTATAGAAACCACGTTCTGTTTTCATTTTGACTTTGTAAATCCCAAGTGTTCCTTTGTGACTAATTATTCCTTGTTTGTGTCTTAACCTTACTCCAACCATGAATGAACTTTGTAGGAACGAAGACAACACTTTTGAGATGATTTTTTTTTTATCAAGTTGTCTTTCCCCCCCCCCCCCGCTTCACTGTCTAATTTTTTCGAAAACAGACACCAAGGCTAATTTTTTCAGTACTCAACTCGTCATATATTCAGAGGGTTTTATTTCCGGTCACTTTCTCTTGCTTTATGCATCTGTGTTAATCTTTGACACTTCTGCACTCTTTTCGTTTGTAGCAAACATCAATGACCGCAGCATGCTGGGAAAGAGAGATTCAGAAATAGCCTCTATCATAATGGACAAGGAGTTTGTAAGCCACTTTTTCGCAACTGTGATTGAGTAAATAGAGCCCTTGCCGTTTATAAAATCATTCCGAACCACCAACGACTGGATATTATGACTGAATTTTGGCTAAATATTTCACTCACGTAATCTCAAAAATGATCATACAAAACGAAAAAGAAAAACATGTTGTTTCTGAATATGCAAGACTGACTAACATCCAGGTAATAACAAAGGAATTTGTTCCAATACGAACCCTCACCCTTCATATTAATTCTCCTCCTTGTTCCCAGATATTACTTATGATTTTAGTTCCGGGACTTAGTAAATAAATAAATAAAAAAAGGTAAAGTCAGTTTACGAGCCGGTGCTTAACTCCGGTTTCTGTAGCATGAAGCGACTAGGAGTATTTCTACTCCCCCCTTGATGGGATGCCAGTCCATCGCAGGGTTATCCCCCAGCATTAATTTTGCTAGTACTCATTTAAACACCTGGGTGAAGAGTGTCTTGCCTAAGAACACAACACAATGTCCCGGCCGGGGCTCGAACTCGGAGCACTCGATCCGGAGTCGAGCGCACTAACCATGAAACCACCGCGCCTCCACTAGATTAATGAATAAATAATAATTTAGCAATGGACTTCCACTGGATGGCTCTTCTTGTCCACTGTTTCCAGATCGAATTGGAATTTGGATTAGTTCTTTGATTGAACAATTATCCCTTAGGAGATACTCCTCTTTCTCAGTCTCGTCACCTTTGTGCCTGTGAGTGTATTGATGTTGTAAGGAGGACTTCCTCTCTAGTCACTTCTGGTAGTGAAAGGGTTAACAATTTGTGGGCTTATTACATCCATTTTGAAATCTTTGGTGGTCCCTGTAATCTGATTGGCTCTAATTGGTGCGATTTATTCACGAATCGCACCATTTTTTCCTCTAAATCGCATCATTTTACACTTGACTGAGTTTTTGACACATGACGTCAAAGTCATTCTGTTTTGTATACAAAATAAGATGTAAAAGCATTTCTAGTTTTACTTTTTATTTAAAACCTGGCTTCGTACTGCATCAATAAAATATTTGAATTGCCCAAGTCCCGTATTTGGGCGATTTCAAAATGGATGTAATAAAGTGGTAATTGAACCTCGTGTCGTGCAATTTTGTTCTGAAATCATACTTGTGATTTCAAATCGAACTCGCGTTGCGCGCACGTTCGATTTTGAAATCACGCGTATAATTTCAGCCCAAATTGCACTCCACTCAGTTCAATTACCATTATTAATGCACTCTCTTAATGGCCGCATCCTATACACAAAGATCTGAAAAATAATTTTTCGATTGTTCAACGTGCACTGACGACACTTTTACCAATGACGTGGGAGTAAGCATAATGGAAGAAATTTGTGATATTGTCGGCATTCCCTTTTTGCGATTTGCTTTTCAGGTTACGTCCGTGATGGATGGCAAGGAATACCTAGCTGGCAAGTTTGCGTTCAACTTGAGATCGAGACTCTTCAGGTGATCCTGATAAATCATATATATTTCCTAAAAGAGAGCAGAGAATCCGACCAACTTTGAGTTACTGGCTTTAATGTATTTCCGATTTTCACTTTGAAGATGATTTCCACTGATGTTGTCGATGCATCCGTAGACGTTGGCGACAGCAGTCCTTTCGCGACTCCTATCATTTGGACGATCAGAATGAAAAATTGATTGCAAATTTTCATATCTATCATAGAATAAAATGAGTGAAGAATAGTTATCGTAATTGGGAACTCGGGAAAAAAGACTTTTACCATTACAGCCATTCATGCAGTTTCTTCATCTGAACAGTAAAACCGTTAGTTAGTTAGTTACAGTAGTCTATCATCACGGGTTTATTATGAATCAACTCAACCGTTAGTTAGTTACAGTAGTCTATCATCACGGGTTTATTACGAATCAACTCAACCGTTAGTTAGTTACAGTAGTCTATCATCACGGGTTTATTACGAATCAACTCAACCGTTAGTTAGTTACAGTAGTCTATCATCACGGGTTTATTACGAATCAACTCAACCGTTAGTTAGTTACAGTAGTCTATCATCACGGGTTTATTACGAATCAACTCAACCGTTAGTTAGTTACAGTAGTCTATCATCACGGGTTTATTACGAATCAACTCAACCGTTAGTTAGTTACAGTAGTCTATCATCACGGGTTTATTACGAATCAACTCAACCGTTAGTTAGTTACAGTAGTCTATCATCACGGGTTTATTACGAATCAACTCAACCGTTAGTTAGTTACAGTAGTCTATCATCACGGGTTTATTACGAATCAACTTAACCGTTAGTTAGTTACAGTAGTTTATCATCACGGGTTTATTACGAATCAACTTAACGGCCTGCTCCCAGTTGGCTTGTTAGCTCAATTGGTAGAGCGCTGCACTAGTATCGCAGAGGTCAGTGGTTCGAATCCCGTACAGGCCTGATTTTTTTCAGGTCTGATTTTCGCTATTGCATAAATAGCGCTATCTACTGCGAAGGATCGTGCATCATACGTATTTAATACCGCAGTTCAAAATATATGAACTTCATATATTCATTGTATCTGATTTATCATCACGGGTTTATTACGAATCAACTTAACGGCCTGCTCCCAGTTGGCTTGTTAGCTCAATTGGTAGAGCGCTGCACTAGTATCGCAGAGGTCAGTGGTTCGAATCCCGTACAGGCCTGATTTTTTTCAGGTCTGATTTTCGCTATTGCATAAATAGCGCTCTCTACTGCGAGGATCGTGCATCATACGTATCTAATACCGCAGTTCAAAATATATGAACTTCATATATTCATTGTATCTGATTTATCATCACGGGTTTATTACGAATCAACTTAACGGCCTGCTCCCAGTTGGCTTGTTAGCTCAATTGGTAGAGCGCTGCACTAGTATCGCAGAGGTCAGTGGTTCGAATCCCGTACAGGCCTGATTTTTTTCAGGTCTGATTTTCGCTATTGCATAAATAGCGCTATCTACTGCGAAGGATCGTGCATCATACGTATTTAATACCGCAGTTCAAAATATATGAACTTCATATATTCATTGTATCTGATTTATCATCACGGGTTTATTACGAATCAACTTAACGGCCTGCTCCCAGTTGGCTTGTTAGCTCAATTGGTAGAGCGCTGCACTAGTATCGCAGAGGTCAGTGGTTCGAATCCCGTACAGGCCTGATTTTTTTCAGGTCTGATTTTCGCTATTGCATAAATAGCGCTCTCTACTGCGAAGATCGTGCATCATACGTAAGTAGTCTCTCGTTGTTCAATTTTTCAGGGAACATCTGGGTTTATTAGATTCTCCCGGCTCAGATGTAGACATCAGGGATGTTGTTTCAGAAAGCTTCTATGAGGTGAGCCTTGCTTGTTATAGATACTGAAAATTCAGTTTCTATGTGGTCTTTGTCTTTGATTGTGTAATTTTTCCATCGTAGGATGTGTGGATGGCTACGGCGAAAAAAAACACTGAAATTTACGAGGAGGTAAGATGGATGTATCATAATTCTTTGACAAAGCAGTCTACGCGAAAAGGCCGAAAATTCTTTTAAAAGGTTTCCTTGGAGTTCCCTTACGGTTTAACTTATCGTGCGTAAACAACACTGAATATCAGTCTTGAAATCGTCAGCCTTGTTCTAGACTTTCTTACAAGTGAGGAACAGTCCAAATAGGATTGGTTTTTCTGAGTACTCAGCCAGGTCTCCTCATAACACAAATCCAGAACACAGGACACCAGTACCTCATGAGGACTGAAATAAGGTTTGACATGCAACTCACTGTATGGAATCCGAGATCAATACAGATATATTATACAAGCGAGTCAGTTTTTTTTTTTTTTTTTCAATAGATGAACCATCTCATTAACAGTACATCTCAAAAGATTTCCTTTTCTTTTTTGAAACTATATAGCCATACACTGTGTTAATAAACATCACTTTTCTTTTTCTTTAAGGTGTTTCACTGCATACCAACAGACCAAGTTCGTTCATTAAGCGACATGGCTGCATATAAGGTGAGGGACTGTATTGACATTGAGTAGTTTGACTGTAATAGCATACTGAAATATGAGTGCCAATGAATGTAATGAAGCCACTGTAAAACACCTAGGATGAACGAAGCTAGCCTGCAGTGTAGGCGTCCTATTAGGGCGAGTTAAGGTTATAAGCTCGTGATCGTTTATCCTAACGCCATGTTTGATTTGAGGTCAGAGTGGACGGTGACCATTCCAGCCCTTCTCCTTATTTTTGAACGTCACTCACCCCTTGGTACAAATTACTTTCTCTCCCCAGCCTTCCACTGCCATTTAATAATTGGTTCATGCTTTAGCGTGCATTATCGAGTTATGAAGCACGCGGGAAGTTTGGAGAGCACGAAAGAAGCGTAAGAGTTGCCCAAGGCAATAGCCGAGGGCAACTCTAGCTTCTTGAGTGCTCTCCAAACTTCCCACGTGCTCCATAACTCGATAGTGCACAGCTGAAAGCATGAACCAATTATTTTAGAACATAGCCGGTGGAATTGTGCATCAAATCCGACGCGGAAAACGGACAACGATATCAACTGAAGCGAATCGTGACGGCGCTGATGCCGAGTCTCCTTTTCCGTTGTTTTCTCTTTTTGTGCCTCACTTAAGAACTCTAGCCCGAGGGAAAAGGTCGAAAAATTGTCTTCGTTTTGGGACTAGTAGGCCGAGTCTCTGTTTGTATCCATTGTTGTCACGAAATATATTATTTTTCCCCGCGCTAACAATGGCCGCTCGCACGAAAAAAAATTTTCTGGCGAAGCGATTTGCTCACACTATCAGCGTGCACTATCGGGATTTTGAGCACGCTTACGTATACTGAATTTGACTTCGCGGTTCTGCCAGCTATGTTCTAATAAAATCAAAGATGGAGGCAATTTTTCGCTGAGAAAATACTGAGCACTCGCTCAAATTACGGCTGCTCTGCAGGCTAGAACAAAGCGAATTTACAGTTGTTACTAATTCATGCCCTTTAATAATAATAATAATAATAATAATAAAGGTCTTTATTAAGAATTATTGTGCAAACAGACGTGCTACAATTAACATGAATAACATGAATAAAATGAATAAGGAAAAAGAAAAGGTATTAATTACTATTGAAAAGACATCTATTAATAAAAACTGATTTAAAACGGCTTGTCTGAACCTTAGGCAAAATATAATTATGCGACCTAGTTCTCAACTGCCGTGTTCTCTGGGGAGGTAAGAGATCGCTCAACGCAGTGTTGGTGGAAGAGATCCTTTGCCATAATTTCTTATCTCTATTACAACGGATATCCAAGATACTGTGTTGCTTTAAGCAGTAACCCAGCTTATAACACCTGGCAAAGAGCTTATCAATTCTACTTAAATATTTACTATGAAAAGCACACCCCCAGACCTCAATAGCATATGTAAAAACTGAAAGAATCAAACTTTGAAAAAGTAATTTTTCAAAAGTTTGAAAAACTTTTGAAAACTTTAAACTTTTTTTTTTGAAAACTTTAAACTTTATTCAGATTTTTACCAATATTTTTGTCATAATTTTTTTTTGTATGAATATTCTTTTCAGAGTCTTAAAAGCCTTGACAGAGAAGACCCTGGAGAGGCACGTGCTCGCTTACGTGGCGTCAAAGGGTACCTCGTTCAGTTACCCCTCCAATTTTTAGAAAAAGAAGACCTTAGACCGCCCGTTGGTAGTTCGGAGTTCTTTGTGTCAGATGGAGTTTTTACGTGAATAGATGCAATATAGGATAGCCGGTTTGATAAGTTCCTTAGCGATAAAAATTTGAATTGATATTATAACTTGTGATTGGCGTGGCAATCGGAACTGAAAGAAACTGAGCCGTTCAGCCATTTCATACTGCTAAGCATATCTTTATTCGTCTCACAGTAAACAAAAGTAAGTGCATGTTGTTTGTGGGTTGGTCTTGCGACCACTTATGAGGAAAATAATTTATACTCGCAAGAGTCGAGTTTGACGATGAAGGCAGTTAGTAGAGCAAAGGATTTTAGTTGGTTCTGCACAGAGGTATTTTTAGTGTGATGAGGGGAGGGGAGACATTTGTCGTGCATATGATAGGAATTCAGTTTTAGGGAGCAAAACTATCTTCAGAGTTCCACTGTGCATGCCCCACACGATGAAGCTCAAAATCTCGACCCCAGATCTGCGCTTCTTGTGGCTCTCGGGGACAAGCCGAGACCACTTTAGTCGTGTACAAGAGAGAGAGAGAGATACATGGGGTCGAGATAAAAAATTATCGATGATGTTACTAAATTTTATAACGAGGAGCATTTGGTGATTACCTACTCCCGGTTTTTAAGTCGGATCATTAAATTATTTTATTAATACTATATCGAATTTAAAGGTTAATTATTAGATTGGTTTTCTTGACAATTATTAATCGAGGGAGATATTATTTTATAGTAGGTAAAAGGTAACTTTATAGTCACACAAATAATTTATTCTATTTTAACATGTCTTAATGTTTCGGATGGAAACAAGGTACTGAGTCGATCGTTTTTTAAGGTACATTTTAAAGAAAAACGCTCAGTTTATCTGATTATTTATGCATTGTAAATGGCTCAACGACGCTTTTGGAGAGGAAATATATTTTGGAAAGCTTATTTAATCTCCATTTGAGGAAATTATGATGTGGTGTAATGTAGCTGGGTTAGTGTAAATAGCACGCCGCTTGGTCTACGATTTGGATTTTTCCTGTATTGTTCCACTGTTAGGTAGAATTTACGAAAATTTGCATAATATGATGGTTGGCTGTGCCTGAAGTTCGCCGAACCACAACATATTTTTATATTTCTATACTCCTGTCCCCTATTTTAGGTAGTGAGAATGAGAATATTATGGGGAAGAAGTTGGGCTTTTGCGCTAAGCTGAGATCAAAAGTTGCATATCTACGGCCTTGGCGACAGTGGTAAAGTACGTGTCAAACTGAAAAATGATTTTCAATGTAAGCAGCCGTCAAAAGAGAAAAACTTATGAGCTTTGGATTGATCTAAATAAAAAAATACAAAAAAAAAAAATCCCCAAACGAGAGTTTTGTTCAAAGACGAGCTCGGCATTTGAGCGCAGAAGTGATTCTCATGGGGAAAATTTTATTTTGTAATATTTGGAAAAGCCAAAGTGGTTTCGACTACCATTAGAATAAGATATAATTTGGATATATCAACAAAGTTGAATGGTAAATTAGCCACCGTAACGATTACAAAAGCTGACGTTTCGAGCGTTAGCCCTTCGTCGAGAGATTAAGATAGATTTATGAGGAAAGTTTGAAAGAATTTGATATTTCGAAAGGAAATGCACTGAACCGCTTTTAGAGAGATTTCGTTCTTTATAAGTTTAACTATTTACAGGGGATCATGAGTGCGAGTGTCAATGAGTGAAGGTTGTAGTTGCCTCCACACTTGGGGAAATGGTAAATGGGTGTTCTTTTATCGTTTGCTCCTGACTGCTTCTTATTTTTTTCCACGTCAAATAAGCCCTTTTGGTCCACACTGAAACAAACTGCATAGCGATGCATTATAGCTTCATCCTAGAAATAAGCGGAACTCGTTATTCATTGGAGGAGCTTACCTCTTTACTTCTTACCAGTCAGAACAAGAAAGGTCCACCCCGAACCCTCTGCGCTCCAGCTATCCGCCAGCTTGAAAAGGTAACTAAGCCCAACGGCTTACGAACAAATGAAAATTTCATCAATAACCTTTACCCAGCATTTGATTGGCTGAATTCAGAAGAGTTGTCAATTTCCTCTAAGTTTTTCCGCTATTTCCATTGGTTTGTTGTCACTGACTTAATTGCTTCTGGTCTTTGAAAACTGATCCGCTGTTTGCGTCGAAGCACAAGCATAAACGAAAAGACGCGATCTCACAAAGCAGTTCCACATTTGCCTCTTGTCGGAACGGAAAGACAATGTGACCAGACAGTCCTTTTTGAAATGACTCGATTCACCGAGGCCTGTCATCTAACCTAACTCTAGTTCTGTTTTGAAATAGTGCAGCGATTGGCTTCTATCTGACAGGGGATGTTCGAGAAACTTAGGATATCCAATTTCTTCTTTTTGATCCTGGCCTTCGTGATGATGAGCTTTTACGCCACGAAGTTTGCTTACCATGATCGATTACCCAGGACTGAAATGTACACATGCAAGGTTATACGAATTCTATGCTTTGGTGATTCCTTAACGACAGGCGTCGTGAACGTAAAAACACTTGAGAGCTATCCTTATTCCATCAAACTGCAAGAATATTTTGATTCACACAATAGTACAGCACTGGGTGTGTCAAAGCGACCTATCTTCCAAGTACAAAACGCGGGAATGCCTGGCGCCAGAGCGAAGGGTCAAATGTTACCGCATTTGGCTCAGATATTGCAACGTTCAAGAATAAAGTACAGCTGGGTGATCATTCTTGCGGGAACCAACGACTTGAATTCTGTGCTTGCACCCGGAAAAGGTAACCTTTCGTACAATTCGATGTCCATATTTAATGCAATAATAAAGCTTCACAATGTTACACATATGTTGGGAGCGAGATCTCTGGCAGTTTCCATCCCTGATAGACAATGTGAAGGATTGGGAACATGTACTAAGCTAAAGGACACCCATAAAAAGATTAACCAACTTCTTCGCGGCTTCGTAGCCAAGAGCAAGAATAAAATGCTTCTTGCTGATTTATGTAAACATGTTTATCTTCCTCGTGACCGCAAGCTGTGGAGTGATCCGTTCCATTTTACAAAACAGGGTTATGAAAAGGTGGCAGATATCATCTATAACGCAATGAGAGGACACATTTGACGAATAAAAACAAACTTGATGAAATAGGACGAAAGTGGGGTTGTCATAAAGGTGTTAGTTGTTTAAATATAATGTGATGCTGGTTTTTGCACATTTGTTGGCTGTCTGTTTTTTTCAGATTTAAGATTTGATTCAGTTGATATTAACTTTATTAGTTTTACGATTTTTGTAATTTGGAATTCAGTAAATGATGGGTAGTATTGAAATATTACACACAGAAAGAAAACTGTTTTCGTGCACAAATAGGGAACCTCAGGTAATTATCCATTCAAAGTTATCATCTTAGCGTCATTTTTGGTTGTTAAAGCGCCTTTGAACACCAAACAATTTTTTTTTCTTGTGATCAGCAAAGACACGAGATAATGCTCCATCACACTAACGATGATAAAAAAACATCACCGAATTGTTCTGAAAACCGAACTGAACAGACATTTTCTGTTCTTCGCGCACCCAAAGAAGGCGACATTTTTTTAAAACCCATCTCTATTGTTTGGCCTTCTCATTTCACTCTTTGAAAAGCTACGAAAATCATTGTCAAGAATGATTTCAATTTAAGCCAAGTTGCTGTGCAACCTTCAAAGTATAAATATAGAATATATAACAACCTTATATAGAAATAGTAAAATCAACAACGAAACAAAGTTTCCGTGACTCGTAGTTTCATGGTTTCGCAATCATCAGACAGTCTAAGCGCTAAGATAAAGACCGTACTTTCCCGATTTCACCCCTTTAAACCCGATAAAACCAGGCATCGCTTTTTATGATCGCCCGAAATGGTTTTGTTATATCTTAGCACCATGCGATTATTCAATGACGATGATTAACACCAAAACGCTTTTGTAAATAGTGTAAAAAAATGTCCTATAATTTGCATGTAATATGAATATTATCAAAGTCAAGAAAAAAGACTACCGCATCGTAAAGAAAAAGAAAGGAAATAGAAAAAAACTACTTCACTGTAAAACTACCGCACTACATTCGCACTATATTGTTTTTCTCGTTGCCATGTTCCCACCAATAACGTAGCTCCATTTTCTGCCTTTAAAAGCACACACAACCCACAATTCCTCTATTCGCTCTGATGAAGGGCTAACGCTCGAATCGTCAGCTTTTATAAAGGTAAAGGTGGCCAATTTACCCTTTCAACTTTGTTGATATATTCAAATTATATTCGTATTCGACCAGCTTCTTTGATCTGCAGAAAAAAAGGCGGCTCCTTTTGGCCGATTAGTTGATCCGACATGCAACAAGATTTCAGTGCTATCGTCACAGCTAAGCTGTGCCGCCGAGCGACAGTAAATCTTGCCAAGAGACGTTTCACAACACCATGTGGCCGGCGTCATCTCAGGTGCATCCTCATGTCTACATATGGAGATGGCGAATCAAGGAGGCGGAGATGATCGATGTAAGCGCATTCAATGCAACCGATGCGCCACAACGTACCACGGTGGCGAGAAATACGCAAAGACCGTACCATCAGCGTAAACGGAAAATCTGAGCATCAGAATAAAAAGTAAGGAGAGAACCTCTCACTCTTGGAGCTTGGAATGCGAGAACAACTGATGACAGAGCTGACTCGGCAAGGCCTGAACGTGCAGCGGCCATCATCTGCAGGGAATTAGAATGAAGCAGGGACTGATATTTGCGCACTCGCGCCGGCGAAGTGCAACATCCTGGTTCTGGGAACTTTGTTGAAAGAAGTTGTACAATCTTCTGAAGTGGCGTTGAACTTGGAGAGGCTGGGGTAGATTTTGCTATTACCAGATTTTGCTATTACCAGCAAAATAGCTACTCAAGGCTTTCACCCAAAACCCGTTAGTGACACTCACGACACTGCGGATCCAACTTAAAGTTTTGATCATCTCTACACCACCTTAAATGCAGTTTATGGTCCCAAGATCAAAAACTTGCATCCTGTAAGATAAATTTAAAAGAAGCGGACTTCAGGACATCCTCAGAGAAAATCGAGGACGGATGGGTTGATCATTTCGGTGAGGGTCTAAACTATAACCTATACAGGTGTATTTCCGCATTATAGAGGACATTGAGCAAACTGACAATTATACTGAACTAATTACAGAAGAAGAAGTGAACATAGCAATCAAAAATACTAAATTAGGAAAGGGTTTTTTAGTCCCGATGGAATATTCCCCGAGAGTTTTAAACGATGTTGTTAATAACAGTGGTACGTAGCCGTTATTTAGGAGCTTTCCTTTAAGCCCGATGAATTTCTAACGGGTATAAAGAAAGATTAACTGAATACGCTTAAGTCAGAAGGCGTGGTATCCAGATTCTAACGGTCAAACGAAAAGGCGAGATTTAGGTAAGGGTCTAAAAGCGTGGCCTAAAATCCGTTTTCCCAACTAGTTCCTGTGTATTTTCGACTTTCAAAAATGTAACTTCAAGTTACAAAGTTATATGGAAATGGATGAATTCCCAAACACGAAATAAGTCGAAACGATTTGAAAATGTTTCGTAGAGATTGCCTTCAGAATCAAGTTACTCTCAATCCCTCGTAGAATTCAAGTACGTAAACTACAAGATGGTCGATGATACGACCGCACGGGTCCCACGGGCCAACAACAAGTGAGTATTTTTTTGCTCGACGTAAAAGGAAATGTTTTACAACGAAACCAGTCGTTATCGCAGGTATCACCGATTAAACTGAAAAAAAAAATGGTTTTGTTTAGATTTGATGACGTGTTTCCAGAGCCTAGATAGTTTAAATTTAATTGTACAAATTTCACAGTTCATAATTAAAACCGGTTATAACGAAAGGGTTCTTTAAAAATTACCGTACGACGAAAAGTTTTATTGTATTCGGTAATCCAGTCATAAGCGGGCTTAGGAATACACAACTAATATGTAACCTAATTACCTTGAAGAAAGTGGAAAATTTAATCTCAAGTTGTTTGGTATGACAAAATTTAAAAGGGCTTTACTTGCATTTTGTGTTCTTCTGCTATCATCGCTAACAACTCTGGGCGTACTCGTTCCAAGAAGTACTAAACAAGGGAAATATATACGAATCTTGTGCTTCGGTGATTCACTGACTTTCGGTCTCACAAATGGAAAGCCTCATCCGTACACCATAAGATTACAAGAGTATTTTCGAAGTAAACCCAAGAGTCATTCAAAGTCAAGCTATGTTGAACTCTACAATGCCGGACGGTCAGGCGAGAAAGTTCAAAACGAGATGCTCCCTCGACTTGAAAATTTATTGCAGGCTGCTAAATACAACTGGGTAATCATTTTGGGAGGGACGAATGACTTGTTTGGAATGAAGAGTATCTGGACAGCCAATAACATTGGCAAGGAGCAAGATGAAATCACCATTTTCAATGCTTTAGTTCAGCTTTACAAGGTCGCTCACATGGCTGGAGCTAAAACCGCTGCCGTAACGATTCCCGCCTTGCAATGTGAAGTAAGCAGAAAACGAAGAATTAGCGTAATTATGGAAGTTAGACTGAAAGTGAACGAAATGATCCGAAATTTCGTCAAAAATTCAAAAGGAAAGGTGCTTCTGGCCGACCTTGATAAGGATATGCATTTTTCTCGAGATCAAATGCTCTGTGGTGACGGAATTCATTTAACGGCTTCAGCTTATGACAAAATGGCTGACGTAATGTTTAATTCGATGAAGAAGTTCCTATGAGGCTCTCAAGAGTAATGATGAAATCCAATATTCAAATAATTGATTTGACGGTTTAAAAATCTGTCAACACACCATACACCGATTGAATACAGTAAATTCCTTTAAGGAGAATGATGCTTCAGAAACCGTTTCGTTGTTATCTCCACTATTAAAGATTTAAATGAAATTATGACACTAACCACGTTTTGAAATTATTAAGAGTAACCTACGAAAATTGTCTTCAAATAGTGCATAAAATTCGATTATCAATCTTGCTCGGTAACCTGGCCGCTGAGTTGTGACGCAGTCCCGTTCTACTACTCCTTTCAATCTGACCGAATAGTTAACGATTATTCCACGAGCGCGCGTTGGATATGAGATGATAGAAAGCCAACGAGGCGCGTAGCGCCGAGTTGGCTATAATCATCTCATATTCAACAAGCGCGAGTGGAATAATTGTTTTATTAAAAACGCCCCCAAGAAATTTTTATTTTGTAAGGAGAAACTGTATTTTTTAGCTCCCTTTTGATTTTAAGCTGACGCATACGCTTACCATATTTGTAGATTATGGTATATTGGCTCATTTACCATAATGGCTAAGCCAATAAAAAGTCTTGAATTGCATTATCCAATGATCCAGTTTTTAATAAGATAGAATAGACTTTATTTCAAGAGGGTAGCACGTGACAGTAGTTAAACTCATGATCCTGTGGCCCTCTAACCCACCCATCCCACTCCAGAGGAGGACATCCAACACACAGTGATGCTTGCGTGGGAAGTTAACGTCTCCTACCCCTAACCCTGCAGGAGAAGGGACCTCCATTTAATCGTCCCTATCCGAGAAGACTAGAATATCTAACCTTCTTGATGTCATAGAAAGGTAGCATATTCTTCTCAATTATTTTAAGACCTTGAGTGTTGGTCCGGCCGGGGCTCGAACCTTCGACCTCCCGCACAACAGTCCAGCGCTCTATCCATTGAGCTAACCGGGAGGCGGTTGATCAGTGCACCAAATGCTTGTGATTGCACCAAATGTGATTGCATGTGATTGCACCAAATGCTTGCGGTGTAATTTTGCGCGCTAGGTTTTCAATGTATTTTCGGATCCTAAGCCACTTTAAAATTTCACATTTTTATTCAGTGACAGCAACAAGAATTAAATGGTTTCAGGTGTGTAACTCTCCCGAACTTTTTACCTCCCGAGGGCCGAGATATTGCACAAGAGTAACCGAATGTTGATGATAACTCAGAAGCTGTGTCGTGGAAAAGGTTACAGCTGCTCAGTTATGTGAAGGACGGCCTTAAGCTGTTGGCCCGGGTTAATTTTACTGCGAAACTGGACCGGAGGACCCAATGGGCATCTCTCTATGGTGCTTTATTGTGCGACTAAATGGCGGAGATAGAAGGGGGAAGGAATAATTTCCCTCCTATTAACCTGGTTTTGACCCCGCTCCGAACCTAACGAACTCATCAAACGAGGAACGTACACAAAAAGTTAAACCGTCGCGATCCACATAAACAGACTCGGTTGAACTACAACTAA